GATTTCATCCCATACCGGGGAGGGTTTGTCCTCCCAGGATTCCACTGGAGGTCAAGGTCTTGGCCCTCTCAGAGACCAGTCGGACTCAACATTTCTTTCATTGCCAACTCTTCTCCCCTCGTAAGAGCCTTTTTTGGGTTACAAGTGACAGAAACCCAATCCAAAAGCAGCTTACAGATGGGAATTTATTGACTCACAGAACTGAGAAGTGCAAACACAGCTATGATTTCAGGGCAGCGGAATCGGGGACTCAAATCTGTGTCTCTCCGCCTCTCCCTTGTGCCGGTGTTATTCTGAGGCCACCTCACTGATGGCCACCAGCAGCTCTGGGCCTGTGTCCCCCCAGCCTCGCAGCCCCAGCGGAAAGACCGTGCTTTGCTTGTCCATGGCTGCATAATGAATTAACCCCAAACTGAGCGGCTTGAGACACAAACCATTTCATTGCTCTTGAATCTGTGGATCAAGAATTTGAGCAAAAAAAAAAAGAGAGAGAGAGAGAGAGAGAGGGAGAGAGGGAGAAGTTGGCGTGGATGCCCCGGGGGTGATATCAGATGGGCTGGAGGAGCCAAGATGGCCTTGCCAGGTGTCCTAAGACCTCCCTCCTGGCTGGTGGCTAGGCCATCCTGGTATCCTGGTTCTCTGAGTGGCTTCTCCCTCCACAGCCTCCCACCACCCAGGAGTCTACCCACATTTCTGCATCCCATAGCTGGCTTCTAAGAGAATAAAGCAGAAGCTGCCAGTCCTCTTCAGGCTCCAAACACGCACAGCATCGGTTCGTCCCCAATTCTCTGGATCAAGCAAGTCGTGGGGGCCAGCCCAGAGGGAATTGGAGGGAACATAAACTCTTCCTCTTGATGAGAGGAGTGGCAGTCACGCTGCGAAAGGGCATTTGGGATGGGAGGGATTGTGGCAGTCATCTTTGGAAATAAGCTGCCAGCAAGAGTCGAGTCCCTTCTTCAGTGAGTTGGGCCCCAAGTCCTGCTTGGATTATGCTTTGGCCCTGCTTGCATCACACGCTCACCCCCAAACCAACCTTAAGCAGCGTCCACGCCCAGTGGGGAGTCAAACGCGGGGCTCAATCGCAGGACCCTGAGGTCATGACCTGAGCCAAAGTCAAGAGTTGGATCCTTAACCAACTGAGCCACGTAGGCACCCCTACGATTTCCCTTCACTGTTCTCCAGATGGGCCCACTTTCCTCTCCACTATATCTGTGCTTCTGTGGTCTTCCCAGATGGGCACACATGTCTTGTCTCTTGGCCTGGCCAAGCCCCTACCTGATTTTCAAGGAATAGTTGCGGCTGCCTGATGTGGAGGTAAAGAGCTGGGAGATAAGACCCGAGGGCTCTCGCGTCCTTCCAGAAAAGAATCTTCAAGCAGAATCAAAACCGATCACATCGAAGCTCCTTGATTACTTTGTTAATCATATTTCAGATTGAAAGCGTTTTGTTTTGTTTTGGACAAAAAAAAAATGTTCATTGGAGCATTCATCATAATGGCAAAACCTGAAAGCTACCCACAATTCCTGCATGAGGGAATGGGTTGTAATCATCAAGATTCTTTCAGCAATAACTGACAGAAACTCAGCTCCAAACTAGCCTAGGCACAAAAGGGAATTCAGTGGCTCAGGAAATGCGGCCGTCCAAGGGACTCCCATGAGTTGTCAGGCCCCCTCCGTCCCGTGGCTGTGCTTCCCTTGGGTATGGGGCTCATTTTCTCCCACTATTGACTAGTTTCCTCCATTGCAGGGGGGCAGGGGGTGAAAGGGAGGCCAAGTCTGATTGCTCTGGACTTACATTGTTCCTGCTTTGTGACCTTGGAGGAAAGAGAAAGCGGCTCTTTCCCAGGGGCCCAGGGAAGGAGGCTGTCTTGGCTGGGGTGACCCGTGTATTCCCGGGCCTGTCGCTGTGGCCAGAGGAATGGGGTCCCGCGATTGACCAAACCATGGCCGCAAGGAGGCTGCGGTGGTTGGTTGTCCCCCTGGAACTAGATACAGTTGGGGGGGAGGGGTTGGGAGGGTGAAGCCTTTTCTAGAAGACTGTTACTGCTCTTACCAAGATGGTAAAACCTAGCTGATGTGATATTATAGTCCAGGAAAAGGTAGAGTGACAAAGACCATGAAGCAACATGACCAATGGTCATAAGGCAATGCTAGGAGAAGGTGGCAGAATACAGACTTGAAACTATGCCAGTACCTTTGGAATATGGAAACATAGAAAGCCTTTGCCTCACAAGGGTGGTGGGAGACTGTATGACTACACTTAAAACCCTGCTACCTTTGCAAAAGCATTTGTACAATACAATATGTGGTGTGAAAATAATCTGGTGTATATCGCACGATCTGATTTTCAGAGCTCAGTTTCCTTTTGGAATGAGATGGGGCATACATATAAATAAACAGATGGTGATTGTTATAGCTCTGGGAAGTCGAGATTTTGGTCTTTGCGGTTGCTTTGAGCAGTGGGCCCAGTAGAACCCCTTTGTCGGGAATGTTAGAACATTTGGAGTGTAGTTCCAGGGAGCTTCCGTTCCCCCAAAACATGCTGTCCTGCTTCTGGGAGTGGGGGACACGTCTCAGCAACAGTCAGCCAGATGAGAAGGCTCCAGGTGGGTCTGCCGGGACAGAGAGAGGAAAAGGGAAAGACAGGGAGCCCAGGGTGGTCCAGTTCACCCCGGTCCTCTGCAGAGGTTCACGCAGTGCCAAATGCCACTCATGTTTGCAGCTAATAACCAGCACTTTGGGGATATCTTTTTTTTTTTTTTTAAGTTTTTAAAGTAATCTCTAAACCCAATGTGGGACTTGAACTCATGACCCCAAGTTCAAGAGTCACAGGCTGTACTGACTGAGCCAGCCAAGTGCCTCTTGGGTTATCCTCTTTATTGTGATTTTTTAAAAAAGGTTATTTATTTGTGAGGCTCCTGGGTGGCTCAGTCGTTAAGCGTCTGCCTTCGGCTCAGGTCATGATCCCAGGGTCCTGGGATAGAGCCCCGCGTCGGGCTCCCTGCTCCGCGGGAAGCCTGCTTCTCCCTCTCCCGCTCCCCCTGCTTGTGTTCGCTCTCTCGCTGTGTTTCTCTCTATCAAATAAATAAATAAAATCTTTAAAAAAATAAAAAAGATTATTTATTTGAGAGACAGAGAGCACGGGCAGGGGTGAGGGTCGGAGGGAGAGGGAGAAGCAGGCTCTCCACTGAACAGGGAGCCTGACACGGGGCTTGATCCCAGGACCCCGGAATCATGACCTGGGCTGAAGGCAGAAGCTCAACCGACTGAGCCACCCAGGTGCCCCTAATGTTATTTTTATAAGTATCAAAATGAATAAGATATTGTATCCCAAAAGGATCTAGAGGTGAGGGCTGGGAGGGTGGGTTTCTGGTCCTGGGGTGTGTGTGTGTGTGTGTGTGTGTGTGTGTGCGTGTGTGTGTGCGGTGGGAAACCAGTGGGATCAAGAGAGTTGTGGAAATGGTCTGTAGGGAAGGAGAGTCAGGGGACTAGTGGGCTATAGGGGGAATTCAGTTCAGTTTGGTTCAGTTTCTAAAATATTAAGCACCTATTACATGCCTGACCCTGTTCCAGAACTTTAGGATACATCAGTGGACAAAACATAAGGATCCTGCCACCAGGACACTTACTTTTTTTTATTTTTGTCAGAGGGAGAGAGAGCACAAGCAAGGAGCCTGATGCAGGACTCGATCCCGAGACCCTGGAATCATGACCTGAGCCCAAGGCAGACGTTTAATCGACTGAGCCACACAGGTGTCCCAGAAGCTTCCATGAAAACTTAATGAACTATAAACACAATTTATCAATTTAATAGTAAGCATTTTGGTATTTTTTAAAAAGATTTCTTTACTCATTTGAGAAAGAGAGTGAGAGAGAGAGCGGGCAGCGGGGGGCGGGGCTGGTGGACAGAGGGAGAGGGAGAGAAGCAGATTCCCCACTGAGCGCAGAGCCCCTACCTGGGGCTCAATCCCGTGAACCTGAGATCACGACCCTGACATCATGACCCTGGGATCACCACTCGAGTTGAAACCAAGAGTCAGACACTTAACCGACTGAGCCACCCTGGCGCCCTAACATTTTGGTATGTAATGAGGAATGATTGCCGTGGGGAAGAAGACAGGGCTGGAATGAGGTGTGGGGCTGCGGCCGGCAATTTTCCAGTGGTGGGACAGGTCTCACGAGAAGGTGGTCTCTGAGCAGGGGCTTGAAGAGACGAAGGACTCCCCGATGGGGACGTCCAGGAGGTGGGCTTCCAGGCGGCACGGGCAGCCAGGGCAAAGGCGCTTGCGAGCAGAGGGTAGGGCGGAGGGTAGACCGGGTAGTGCCAGGTTGGTCATTGGGAAAATTTTGCCTTTCGCTTGGAGGAGAAAGGGGTTCAAACATTTCTATCCCAGTTTTCTGACTTTTCTTTCCAGTGTCTTGTTTGGGTGTGTGTGTGTGTGTGTGTGTGTGTGCGTGCGTGCGTGTGCGCACGCACCTGAAGACCTAGAAAGAGTGGCACCTGGGCGTGGGCAGAGGCCCCCAGATTTCAAAACTGCCCTGTATCTTCCTCCCACTAACCTGCATCCAGGCTGGGGTGTGGCTCGTTTCACCCCCTCAGTTGCTTTTATGGCACACCCCCAGCCCTGGGGACTCAGCTCCTCAAGCACAGAGCAAATTAGGGGTGAGAGGGTCCCCTGCCCACCCAGCCCCAGGGGTGCTGACTATCCATCTTGAATGGAAATCAAAGCCTCCCAGTGGGAGAGGGAGAGTCAGGGGCTGGGACCCAGAGAGAGGGGGACTGAGAACCAGGAGCAGGAGGGGGGTCCCAACAAATGTCACGCACCCACCTGGAGGAGCCGGGTCTCAGATCTCCGTCCCGGTCCGGGGCCCTCTCCCCCTGCTGCCCTCCCCCCGACAAACACACATGCACAGACGCCTGACACAATGGCCGGGTGGGGCTGAGGAACTGGCTTCCTCTGTGGAGATCTCAATCTGGGCCCTCGGTTCCCGCCCCAGAAACACAGGAACAGACATTCGGAGACCTGGCCCCACACTCCTCGCTCCAAGGGGTCGGCAGGACCAGCTGAAAGTAGAAACTGCTTCCAGAAAGAAAAGGTAAGTTCAGGAGGCACTATCGCAGAGTTAGGGGGGGCAGAATCCTGGAGGGGGGGTGCCTTGGTGTGAAATAATGGACTGGCTCGCACCCAGGGGGACAGGTTAGCTGCTAAAGGGACAGGCTATGGTGTGAGGTATGGGACAGCGGGTCAGACACGTCGTGGGGGGACACACACACCATCCCCCAGCTGACACAGAGGTGTCTAGACGCCGGGGGCCTTCTGCCACCCCAGCCCTGTGCTCCTGCTACCCCGTGGTCACCGCAGCTCCCGCCAGACCCCAGTCTACACAGCGGTGCAAACAGAACGTGCGCATACAGCACAGCCCACGCTCGGGGCCTGAGGTTCAGCCTTTCTCCGGACCCTTGGGATCCTGGGTCCCTCACATCTTCCAGAGCCCTAGTGTGCGCATGTGGAGTGTGGTGTGGTTTGGGGGGGGGGGTGTCCGGTTGGGAGGAGGATCCCGATTCCTGTTTCCTGCCCCTACTCACTCAGCCCTGGGAGGTGACAGAGGGAGAGGACTGAAGGGTGAGTGCGTGGGGCCGAGCACCTGGGTCCCTGCGAGAGGCCCGAGTGGGTGGGGGGAAAGGAAGTAAACGCAGGTACCTGGGGGTAGGGGGAAGGGATCCCTGAGGGGGGCAAGGCTGGGGAGGAGCCGGCGGGGGGCGGGGGGGGGCGAGTGAGGCCACAGGCCGGGCCACCTAAGGAACTTCCTGCCAGAACACAGAGGCCATTGAGCTCTAAGACTCGCAGGCTACTGCCCCCAGCCCCCACCCGGCATCATTTCTCCAGAATCCAGTCTGGGGCCTGGAGGGCTCTCAGTCTCCCTCCTGCCGACTCCTGTACGGAGTCTGGGGGCACCGCCCTGGCCCCGCAGCCTGCTCAGGATTGCCGCCGCCTGCCCGCAGGAGGAGGTGAAGCCCAGAGGCGGGTGTCCGGGCCCCACTGGTCCTCACCTTCAGGCTGGGCTCCCGACCACCGACGGGGCCTCCTGGCGGGACCCAGGCCGCCCCTGGGGCCTCTGGGACCAGATTGGAGGTGGGGGGCGGGCAGGCAGGGATGGAGACGGGGCAGGACAGATCATGCCCGGGGCCTCCTGGTCTCTTGGGGTCAGAGGCTCCAGGACTCTTCAGGGCAGGAAAAGGAGACTAAAAATAATCCGGAAAGGGAGAGTCCGGAGAGAGGAACTGGGAAATGGGGGGCGGAGGGCCGGCTGGAGCAGGGAAATAGTGATGCATCCCTCGCTACCCCAGGCTTGCGCGGCGCGCCTGCGCACACGGCGGCCCAGGCGCCCCCCCCCCCCCCGGCAGACGGCGCCCCGCACACGCGCCCCCGCGCACCCCACCTTGCGCCCCGCACCCGCCCAGCAGCCTCTGCTCGCCCGCGCCTGTCTGCTCAGAGCGCGATGCTCTCAGCACATCTCACGGCAGCCCTGCAAATGGCACACGCACACGCGCACACGCGCACACACATGCACGCACACGCGCACACACGCACACACATGCACGCACACAGAGCTCCGCAGCTGGACGCATCTGACCACAGGGCAAGCCCGATGTCCCTTACATTTCCAGTTCTCATGTACCCGCCCCCCACACCTGGGTCTCCAGCGGGGCGCCCCCAAGCCGGGCTCACGGTCTCCTCTGGCCTGACTCTGGCAGCAGAAGCCGAAAGACAGAAATGCAGGCCGGGAGGCGAGGAGGGGTGAGTGGTGAGGACCGGAGACAGCGGAGATGAGAGAGAAGCCGAGGGAGGGCACCAGCCTTCCCTCCTGGCCCTGACATCCTGCCCCTTTTGCTGGCCAACAGTTTCTGCTCAGAGGCCTCAGTCTACCTACGGGGCTGGGGGGCACTAAGGGTCTCTTTCTCCCTCCCTCTTCCTCAGGGGATGACTCCAGCAGAGTACCCCACTCCTTTGAAGAGCCCAGAGGGAGATGTCAGCCCAGTCTCTTCCTGCAGCAACACCTCCTACCCAGAAACCCCCTCGGATCATCCGCCCCCCCCCCCCCTCTCCCCCCCGGGCCGCCCAGTCCCCAGGACCCCACCACAATGGCTCTTCTCCACAAGAACCTGCCCTCACCTCCAATGATGCACCAACCCCAATGTGCACCCCCATCCACTGGGAGCCCCCTGCCTCCTCCCTCAAACCCCCTGCCCTCCTGCCTCCATCAGCTTCTAAAGCCAGCCTCGACTCCCAAACGTCCCCAGACTCGCCTTCCAGCACCCCCAGTCCCGCGTCCAGGCGCTCCGTCTCCCCAGAACCTGCTCCCCGGTCTCCAGTCCCCCCACCCAAACCCTCCGGGGCACACACTCTGCCCCTGCTCCCCACACCTGGGGTCCCCGCCCAGGGTGGTTCTGCCTCGGCCCCAGGCACTGTGCGGAGACTGGCTGGCAGGTTTGAATGGGGGACTGAGAGCAGGGTCCAGGCTGCGGAGGCCCTGGAGCCGAGTCCCCAAGGGGCAGCGGATGTGAACGGGGAGAGAGAGGCTCCACAGGGCAACCTTGCGGGGAGTGGGTCCCAGGAGAACGGCACTCCGGGTAAGTGCGTCGGGAAGCCCCGGGGGGTGGGCTCCGTCTCACTCATTTTCTTTGTTTTTCAGTGCTTTAAGACTGGGTGCTTTCAGAGGCTGTGTTCTTTTTTTTTTTTTAAAGATTTTATTTATTTATTTGACACACAGAGAGAGAGAGACAGCTAGAGAGGGAACACAAGCAGGGCGAGTGGGAGAGGGAGAAGCAGGCTCCTGCCGGAGCAGGGAGCCCGATGCGGGGCTTGATCCCAGGACCCTGGGATCCTGACCTGAGCCGAAGGCAGACGCTCAACAACTGAGCCGCCCAGGCGCCCCTCAGAGGCTGTGTTCTTAAAAATGGATTTCATGTTTGGAAAATCTGGTTTCCCTATTTGTTGGGGTCTGAAGACAGGCAGGTGGAGGAGATAGATGCTTGGGGCTGGACTGCCATGTCCCCCTGCTGGAAGGGTTCAGGGGAGGGAGGGGGCCTGGGCAGGGTGGGGCCAGGCCCCAAGGGCCTCCTCCTTAGGACTCCCGTGTCTCCCACAGATGCTGCCCTGGCCTGTCCTCCTTGCTGCCCCTGTGTCTGCCACATAGGCCGGCCGGGCCTCGAGCTCCGCTGGGTGCCCGTGGGCGGCTATGAGGATGGCCCCAGGGTTTTCTGCCGCGCCTCCCCACTGCGGGCCTCCCGCTCCCGCCCCAGCCCTCCAAGCATCAGTCTCCCCCCGGTGGTCCTTACATCCTACCGCTCCACAGCCGAGCGCAAACTCCTGCCGCCCCTCAAAGCCCCCAAACCAACTTGGGTCAGGCAGGACACCACCGTCTCCGGGGAGCCCCCCCAGCCAGATCTCGATCCCCCCTCCGAAGATGGAATCCAAGCAGGTACTGGGCCTGGGGGAGCGGGCTTCTGGGCTGGGGAGGGGAGGGCTGGAGGTAGAGAGGACTAAAAGCCAACGGACTACCACCCCCAACAGGCCCCGGGGGCTTTGGTTTCCTCCACCAGTAAGCGGCTCTACTGGGGCTGGAGTCAGGAGTCCTGGGCTGGGGATTCTGGAGGTCTGTTCTCTTCACTCTGGGCAATCTCTCTCCAGGGGACAATCCTGATGAAGCTCCTCAGAACACTCCTCCGGCAACAATGGAGGGCAGGTACCAAAGCCCCGCACCCTTACTCCTACCCCAGAGCAGACGAAGCATCAGCCCAGCTCAACCCCACCTTCCCGAACGTGGGGTGAAGAACGGCTAGGGCTCCAGAGACAGGCAGCTCTGTCTCTTGCCAGCTGCGTGACCTTAGACAAGTCACTTGGGCTTTCTGGGTCTCAGTGTCCTCATCTGTGGATGGGGGTAAGCACGCCAACTACCTCACCGAGTTGTTGAGTGTCATCTTGGTAAAGAGCCCGGCGCACGGCAGGTGCTCCCTTTGACTTCCCCCAGCTCGAGCCTCCCTCTGCAGCCACTGCCCGCAAATCCATTTGGCACCGGGAACACCTCTTCTGTGTCATCTGGGCTTGTCAATCATTTTAGATTCAGCACCCCTAGAGGAGCAAGGGCAGGCCCATTCGCTTATCGCTGGTGTGAATTCTCCTGGGTGTGTAGCTTGGTTGAACAGGACAGAGAGGGAGGAGCGAGCTTGGGCTTGATCACGCCCGAGTGTCCCCGAGGCACAAACAGGGCATCGCAGACAATGGCTCGTCCGTGAGACAACGGGAGAGGCTTGAGATCGCAGGAGTGGACGGGACCCACCCAGGAGCAGGCGCCTGAGTCATTTTGTCTGTCTGCTTTGGTCAGGGTCCCCGCATACAACCTGCCTCCGGGTTGTGCACTCCTTTACACGAGTGTGTGAATAGCAAACCCCCCCCCCAGGTGTGTCACAGTGGTGGCTCTGGGGCACTCCATCCCTTTCCACAGGGACAAGGAGGGGCTGGAGGAGCTGAAGGAGCAGAACTGGGAGCTGCCCCTGCAGGATGGTGAGGGCCTCTGGATGTGGGGGGCTCCCTGCTGTGACCAGCAAGCCCCAGGGGAAGGGTCCCGGGGCGCTGGCCTTCCCTGATGTGCTCCGTCTGCTCCCCAGAGCCCCTGTACCAGAACTATCGAGCAGCCGTGCTGTCTGAGGAGCTCTGGGGTGTCAGCGAGGATGGGTGTCCCTCCCCCACGAATCCCGGCGAAGCTCCCACCTTCGCACGGCCCCCTGGGCCTCGCAACACACTGTGGCAGGAGCTTCCGGCCGTGCGAGCCAGTGGACTCCTGGACACGCTCAGCCCCCAGGAGAGGCGCATGCAGGAGGTGGGCACGCAGTGGGGCGGGGCGTTCGGGCAGGGCTGGCACAGGGGAGGGGGGGTGGGACCTGGGTTCTGCGCCGGTCGGGGAGCTGGGCTTTCCACTACGGCGCAGCTCTTCCTCCTCAGAGCCTGTTCGAGGTGGTGACATCCGAGGCCTCCTACCTGCGCTCCCTGCGGCTGCTGACGGACACCTTCGTGCTGAGCCAGGCTCTCCGGGACACGCTGACCCCCCGGGACCACCACACCCTCTTTTCTAATGTGCAGCGAGTTCAGGGAGTCAGCGAGCGGTCAGTGGGGCCCTGTCCTCGCAGCACATCCTTAGCTTTTTGCTTGTCCCGGGTCTTCCCTTCCTTGCGCCCAGTTAGCATCCAGCTCTTCGCAGGAACACCTGGGAGACCTGGCTCTCTGCACCCCCTCTCAGGTTTCTAGGGACGCTCCTGTCCCGCGTGCGCTCTTCCCCCCACATCAGCGACCTGTGTGACGTGGTGCACGACCACGCCGTGGGGCCCTTCTCGGTGTATGTGGATTACGTGCGGAACCAGCAATACCAGGAGGAGACCTACAGTCGCCTTATGTGAGTGTGCGGGAGGCGGGGCCGCGCGTCGGGGAGGAAGCTGGGGAGCAGGGCTGGGGTCCAGGGCCTCGAGGTGGACGGCTTCCGCAGGGACACGAACGTGCGCTTCTCGGCGGAGCTTCGGCGCCTGCAGAGCCTCCCGAAGTGCGAGCGGCTGCCCCTGCCGTCCTTCTTGCTGCTGCCTTTTCAGCGCATCACCCGGCTCCGCATGCTGCTGCAGGTGCCTGTGCTGGGCGGGGGGGGGCACGGGGGGTGTTCTCTGCCCCTCTGCCCCCGCCCCGCCCCGTTGGGGAACTCTCCCCTCCTCCCGGGGGCCGCCTGCCCCGGCTTCTCAATCCAAGCTACGTGGAGCTAAGCAGTGTCTCAGGGAGCAGTCTGGGGGCAGTGGAAAGCGCCCCCTGGCTAGAGACACAAGCTCTAGACTTGGCTCTGCCACGACCTGGCTGAGTGACCTTGGGCAGGTCCCCTCCTCTCCCTCAATCTCAGGGGGAATGTGGGGAGTGGTCTTTGGGCTCCCCCACTGCGTGCCTTCCCGGTGGCGGCGGTGATGTCACTCCCAAAGAGGCAAAAATTAGTTCTTTGGCGGTACAGAAATCTTCGCTATGGTAGTAGTACTTCGTGGTACTCCAGAGGGCTCGTCGATAGACACGCAACATATCTGTGTTATTAAAATGTCATGGTGGGTGGGACACTTAGGGAAAACGTGTCTAAAGAGGCTCTTCGGCAGACCGATAGGCAGAGTGGGGAGTGGGGGTGGGGTCAGGTTGAGAAAGACTCTTCTGTGGCAAAGTAGAAACTGCTCCCTAAACCAGGTGACCCAATGCAGGTGACTCGGTGTGAGGAGTCCCCATCTAGGTTATCAGCATTTTCGTATCCTATTCAGCCTCGTGTATCCCCAGTGTAGACAACCTAATAGTCATAACACTAATCTTAGCAGCTAAAGGGCTCCTGAGTGCCCCGTCCTCGGCATGGTTCTAAGTGCTTTGTACCTGTTGAACCTTGCCAACAACTGTGGGTAGGAACTACTATTGGCCCCACTTGATAGATGGGGAAACCAAGGCACGGAGAGCATACGTATCTTGCCCCAGGTCATGCGGATAATAACTGAGAGAGGCAAAATGTGAATCCGGGCACTCTTAACCACTCTGCTCTATTGTTGGTGCTAAGAGTTGTGGTTGATAGTGGTTAAAACAATAGCAACCCTCTTATTTGCATTTACCATGTGCCAAGGACTATGCGGAGCACTTTATGTCTACTTACCCCATTGAATCCTCACGACAGTGCTATTGGTAAGCTAGGTGGGTATTATCCCCATTTGACAGATGGGGAAAACTGAGGCTCAGGGAGGTCACTTGAGGTGCTCAGGGTTGTGCAGTGAGTGGTGACGTCTCTCTGCCTCGTTGAGGTTGGTCCCCCAGCCCTGTGAACCCAGACTAAGCATGTTGTCAAGCCAGGTGGGGTCCTCTTAAGTGAAGCCCCTCCTTGTCCCCAGAATATCCTGCGCCAGACTGAGGAGGGGTCCAGCCGCCAGGAGAATGCGCAGAAAGCCCTGGGTGCTGTCAGCAAGGTGGGCAGGGGGGATGCTGTGGTGTTGGGGTGGGGGGGAGAGAGCGGGCCTGGGCGGTAGGGAGAAGCGGTAGGGGTGCAAGGGAGTAGGGGTGGGTGACACGGCTCCCCTGACCCCAGATCATTGAGCGTTGCAGCGCTGAGGTGGGGCGCATGAAGCAGACCGAGGAGCTGATCCGGCTCACCCAGAGGCTGCGCTTTCACAAAGTCAAGGTTGGCCCCCTGTCCTGCCCCCCACCTTCCCTTCCCCCGCCCCTTCCCCCCCCCCATGCTGCAACAAGCCGGAACCTCCCCCTGCTCCCTCACAGGCCCTGCCCCTGGTGTCCTGGTCCAGGCGCCTGGAGTTGCAGGGGGAGCTGACCGAGTTAGGGTGCCGGAGGGGGGGTGTGCTCTTCACCTCACGCCCCCGCTTCACCCCCCTCTGTCTGCTGCTCTTCAGTGACCTGTTGCTCATCACTCAGCCCAAGAGGTGGGTCCCGGGGGCGGGGGAGGGCACCCAGGCTGGGGTCGGGAGGAGGGGTCCAGCTGGATCCCTGTCCTCCCTCTGAACTGCCTCTTCCCTGGGCAGCGGGCAGCGGCTACAAGTTCTGGACTATGCCCATCGCTCCCTGGTCCAGGCCCAACAGGTTCCGGACCCATCTGGACCCCCCACTTTCCGCCTCTCCCTTCTGAGCAACCACCAGGGCCGCCCCACCCACCGGCTCCTGCAAGCTTCGTCCCTGTGAGTTGCGTCTCCTTCAGAAAACACCCCTGGGACCCTCACTCGGCTTCTCAGAGCCCAGCACCCTCCTCCTCCTCAATCTCGCAACTCTGTAGCCCTTGTCTGTCCCTCAGAAGGCCCTCCTGGTTCAAACGTGACCCCTCCCTCTGTCCCCACCAGATCAGACATGCAGCGCTGGCTGGGAGCCTTCCCGACCCCGGGCCCCCTTCCCTGCTCCCCGGATACCATCTATGAGGACTGTGGTGAGTGTCCCCCAGAGGGGAGGAGGGAAGGAAACGCGAGGCTTCCGGGGCAGACGGGGGAGAAGCTACAAAGAGTCTTGATCCCACCGCATGTCACTCACCCCCAACCAGACTGTTCCCAGGAACTGTGTTCAGAGCCTTCTGCACTGGCCAGGACGGAGGGACGAAGTCTGGAGTCCAGGGCTCCCCGCAAGCACCCACACAAGAGCCCCGAAGGTGAGAGATTCTTGTAGTTATTCATTCAGTGAATTTTTATTAAGCACCTCCGAGGGGCTGCTCGCCATCCTAGGCCTTGTGAACCAAACGCACAAAGATTCCTGCCCTGCTGGAGCGCGCGATCCAGTGGAGGAGAAATAATAAAGAATTAACAAGATATAAATAAGTAAATGATATGGGGGCGCCTGACTGGAGCATCCGACTCTTGATCTCAGGGTCATGGGTTCGAGCCCCACTTTGGGTGCAGAGAATACTTTAAAAAAAAAAAAAGTAAATGCTACAGCGTGTCTGAGGGTTTTAAGTGCTGTGGACAAACAGAAGTGGAACGGAGTCAAGGAGGTCAGGAGTCCCAGGGTTGGGTAGGATGACAATTTAAAATCGGGAGGTCGAGGTGCCCCTCAGTGAGGAGGCACCGTGTGAGCAGTGACTTGACAGAGGTGAAGAACTTAGGCACGTGGTGTCTGGGGGAAGAGTGTCCGAGAGCCCAGACAGGAGTCAGTGCAAAGGCCCTGTGGCCAGTGTGTTTGAGGAACGGTAAGGAAGCCAGTGTGGTAGAGGGCATGAAAGAAGGGGAGAGGGGCAGATGAGGTCCCAGAGGTAATGGGGACCAGACCATGGGGGTCCTCCTAGGTTCCCGTAGGAACTCCGGCTCTCCCTCTGAGGGAGATGAGCGGCCGTTGCAGGCACGCCCATCCTCTGTTGCTGCTGTGGCCTCCGCCTCTGATGTCGTTTCTCCTGACGCTGCAGGCTTCTCCACTAATCCCCACACTCACTGGGACCCTCGGGCATTAGACCCCATGGGACCTCCTTTCCTTCCTGACCTCTCCCCTGCCTTGGTTCCACTTGGGCCCCTGTCTCTCTTTCCCAGGCTGGCTGAAGGGGTTTCCTGGGGCCTTCCCGGCCCAGTTGGTGTGCGAAGTCACAGGGGAACACGAAAGGAGGAGGCACCTTCGCCAGCACCAGAGGCTCCTCGAGGCTGTTGGGCCCTCTTCAGGCTCCCCCAGTGCCCCCCCACCCTAGCGCAGGCTGGGACGTCGGGCAGCTCAGCACGGAGAGGACAAAGCTCATCCATCCATTGGATTCGCTGTCAGTGGAAACGCTACCTCTACTGGCAACCAATAGGGACCGAGCTTCAGGAGAAGGCAGCCAATGAGAAAAGGCCGTCGGAGCCCTCCCCCCGCCCCCCCCCCCCCCCCGCGAAGGAGAATGAGGATGGCTTGAGTGGGTGGCCAATAGAGACAGAGGCCTGGTGCAGGGCAGCCAATGGGTCCTGAGCTGGCAGAGCCGCTGGCCAATGAGTATCCCTGCTCCGCTCACAGCCAAGGAAGACTAAGAAGCTAGGTCAATAAAGTTTTAAAAAGGGCTGCGCTGGAGATAAAGTCCCAGGGTAAAAGAGCCAACAGCAGTGAGCAGGGACATCCAGCCACAGAAGATGGTGGTCTGGGCCCCCGAGAGCCGTGGGGCCCCTGTTTGGTTCTATAGCAATGACCGTCCTGCCCTTTGAGGGTGGGAAGCGGTAGATTCCATTCCTGGGGTGCCTCCTGTGCCCTCTCAAGCCCCTTCCTCTCTTCTAGAAGAATCCAGAGGGTGTGTCTCAGAGAATCGGTGCGTGTGTCCCTAGGTCTCTGTAGGTATCAGGGAAGGGGGTCCTGCTGAACGTGCTGTGTGTGTGGTCCTGCCCCCTCCCAGGTGACTGAGCACTCCATTTCTTCCCTCACCCCCTGCTTTTCCTATTATTCTCTCCAAGAAGACAGGAGGTCTGAGCTCCAGCGGACATGATGTCCTCAGTGTGGCTTGGCAGCCAGAGGCCCGAGTGGGGGATGAGAAGCCTGAGTTCTGGGCCAGGGGTCCATGGCAGCTGGAGGGTGCTGCTGGGGATCAGCCAGACAGCCTGGTAGAGGAGCCCGAGGGACTGAAGATGGCCAGTGGCCGTGGCCTGAAGCCCCCTGAAGCTTCCTTGCCCCAACCTTGGCCTCCAATCTGAACTGTAACTGGTCATTCATCCAGCCTCAGCTTCGGGCTTCACACTGGCTCTGGGCCCTAGGTTTGGGGGAAGAAACAGGAGCTGTGGATCGCGGGCCGGCCGGGGAGCCTCTCTGGCTTTCCGGGCTTCATCCTGGACCTCCCACGGCAACACTGGGCCAACCGGTGGGGAGGGAACAAAGAGCCAGTGTGGCGGCCCAGTGTGTGCCCTCCAGAGCATCTCCTTCCAGAGAAGAAAGTGCCCGGTGGGATACCAGAAGGGGGTGAGGGATGGAGCCAGAGCAGGGCAGACAGTCGGTGGTGACCGAGGGCCTAGGCCCGGCACCAGGCCTTCCCTGAGCTGGGCCCGTCACACTGTCCCTTCAGCTCACGTATGGCAGTTGGCCCAGAAAAGCAACTGCACGCCGGCCACGGGAGGTGCAAGGACTCTGGGAGGCCGGGAGGGAGAAAGAGACTGGCCTTTGGCCACCCAGGACTTTGCACAGTGCCTGGCATATGAGAAACCCTCAATAAATGTTGGTGGACCTGTACTGAGGGGAGTGCGTGCTTCAAGGAAGAGTAGTTTCCAAATGTGGCTTTGTAAGGTGGTGGGGCTGCTTGGAAAGAGGTTCTCTGAGAGCTAGGTTCAGCTGAGCTGGGACTGGGGCCTGGAGACCGGGAGCATGGCCCGAGTGTGTTGGCCCATTCCTAGTTCCCGAGGGATCTAGGGGTCTAGGTGGTGGTGGGTCTGCAGAGGCTGGAGCAGAGTGTTCCTGTGGGCTGGGGAGGAGGGCAGGGCCAGGGCCAGGTAGGGCTGGGGCTCCAGCAGGGGACGAAGCTCCGAGCGAGAAGGACCGAGAGGACAGACAGGCAGCAGTAAATGTCCTTTATTGACCAGCCAAGCATCTCTGTTCAGTGCAATTCAATTCTACACCTGTTTATCGAGTGCCTTCTAGGCGCCAGGCCCTGTTCCAGGACGCGGGGATGCCGAGCTGGAAAAGACAAGGGTCTTGCCCTCAAGTAGCCTTCATTCTGGGAATGACGAGAAGGAAGCAGCCCTGGGGAGGTCTGGGCAAAGCCTTCTAGGGGTGGCAACAGGGGGACTGAAGTCCAGGAAGAGGAGGTAGTGGTCATGGGAGGGAGCTGGAGCTCCCTTCAAGTTTCCTGGTGGTGGGAGAGCCCCTCCCGGCCCCCACTATGCTCCCCTCTTCCTCTGAGATCCTGCGAGAGACAGACAGGTGCAGAGGCCGCCCCAAAGCTACACAGGTGCCCTCTATACATTCCCTCCCGGCTCCTCACCCCCTCCCCCGTTCCTGCCCCTAAGGATGCCTCCATTCTTCAGTTCAGAAGTCCTGAGGCCAGGATAATGGGGAGATGGAGAGCAGACAAGAGTCGTTCTGGGGACATAAAGACACATAAAATGCAGCCACATGTCCCCAAAGGGACAGAAAAGGCAGGGAGGGAAGGGGGCTGTTATGTTTCTGTTACCTTAGAGACTTCTTTCCATTCGGGGGTGACCTGGGCGTGTCTGTGCAGTCCTGGAGGGGTGTGCCTTCTGCAGGCTGGGGGAGGGGGCGGCGGGGCACGCGGCACCGCCACAGGGGGGAGGGGTGAAGGCAGGGATGAGGACCACCGTGCACGAGCACGCAGGGAGAGTGGATGGGGGAAGGAATGGGGCCGGGGGAAGGAAGACAGAGGGGGCAGAATAGCGGGGAGGTGGTAGAGGTGGTACCCGCGGCGGTGAGGGTAGTAGGCACAAATGTCCCATTACCCCCATTCCTTCACATTCTGTCATGCCGGGGGCATGGAAGAAACAAATATTGTCACAGGTGTAGGAAAGGCGCAGGAGAGGACAGAGTGGGGGAAGATGGGCCCCTGCTGGGAGTCTCTCTCCGTGAGTCAGTAAGGCCTTTCTCCACCTACAGCCCTGCCCCTCATATTTGTGACCTCCATGTTTGGGAAGTGGACCGATCAGGAAGACAGAACAGGGCACTGACGGGGCTTTGGGCTGGCCCTTCTATGGCCTCCGGGTCAACACGGTCGTGGCGCACGGGGGTACAGCCATGACCACAAGCAACAGGTGGATGAGAGGAGCTGTCCCCCTTTCTCCCCACAGCCTGCTCGCTAGCTCTCCCCTCTCTCCTAGCCCCGCTGGGCCCTCCCACCTCCCTGGGATCCTTTCCAGAGCCCTTCAGCCCGGCTGGCTGTGCACCCCCGAAAGCTTGTCTCTCTCTCCTCCCTTCTTCTTCGCAGGGCTCCCTCTCTTCAGGTACAGGGGTATGTGATGGTGATGGTTCCTGCTATCAGGGTTGGCCCGTGCACCAGGCAGGCACCCCCATCCGGTGCAGGACGACGTGTCCTCCGACCGCTCCTCCGCCGGTCTGGCGAGCCCGTGACCTCGCCCCCCAGCACGCCCAGTTTGGATTGGGACTCCCCACCCAGCGGCCTCAGAGCGCCTCTGGCCAGGCCTAGGGAGCGCAGAGGGGCCCGAACTCGCCCTTCGCCTGCGCCCGGAAGGCCCGCACCCTCAGGGGCGTGGCCGGGCCCCTCGGGCCTTCGAGCTCAGTGACTGGCCCCGCCCCCAGTCCGGGCCCCGCCCCATCGCGGCCCCGCCCCTCCGCGCCCGGCTCCGCCCCGCTCTCCGCGCGGACCCGCCCCTGCGGCGCTAGGACGGCTTCCCGCCTGTGGGCCCTGTAGCATCCTGTGGCCGGGTTCCGGCTCGGGGTTCGCGGCGCCCGCCCCCGCCGAGGAGCCCCTGAGAGGTTGAGGCGCAGGCTGCGGGCGCGTGCGGGGCACCTGCTCCCCGGGCTCCCGGGCCGTCGCCACCGACCGGGGCCCCGCTCGCGCCCCCGCTCTGTCTCCATCTCCCACTGTGGTTCCGGGCCTTGGCAGGAGCTCGACATACCAGCCCCTCCTTCATCACGATGGAGCTCTTGGGCACGACTCTCTGCCCCACGCTTCCTTCTGCGAAGAACCAACGTAAATCTTGGTGGGAATTATGCAACTCGCCCTCCGGAGAGCACAGAAGTCACCTTTTTTCTATTTGTAAAATATAATCTTTTTTTCTCCTCCTTTTAAAAACTGTATTTTATATACGTATATATGTAAATGTATAATATGTAAAGTACAATATAGAAAATATATATTGCAGTTTTCTTATTTATTTATTTAAATTTTAATTCCATTTTAGTTAACATACAGAGTTAGTTTCAGGTGTACAAGACAGTGATTCAACACTTCTATACATTATTAAAGTATATATATATTTATTTTTTATTTTTTTAAGATTTTTTAAATTTATTTATTCATGAGAGACAGACAGAGAGAGAGAGGGAGGCAGAGGGAGAAGCAGGCTCCCCAAGGGGCAGGGAGCCCGATGCGGGACTCCATCCCAGGACCCTGGGATCGTGACCTGAGCTGAAGGCAGACGCTTAACCATCTGAGCCACCCAGGCATATTTATTCATTTGACAGAGAAAGAGGCAGGAGAGAGGGAAACACAAGCAGGGGGAGTGGGAGAGGGAGAAGCAGGCTTCCCACCGAGCGGGGAGCCTGATGCGGGGCTCGATCCCAGGACCCTGGGATCATGACCTGAGCCGAAGGCAGATGCCTGACGACTGAGCCACCCAGGCGCCCCATTAGTGTATATTTTTAAGGTGCAGATTACATACAGAGAAATTCACCCTTTTCAGTGTAAAGTTCAGAGATTTTTGACAAATGTATATAGTCATGTAACTACCACCACAACTGAGAAATGAAAGACTTCCATCACCCCTGTAAATTCCCCTGTGCCCCTTTGTGGTGAACCTCTTCCTCAATTCCAGCCTCTGGCAACCCCTTATCTGTTTTCTGTCCCCTGTAGTTTTGCCTTTTCTATAATGTCATATAAATGGAATCGTACAATAGGTAGCCTTTCAAATCTGGCTTCTTTCGCTTAGCTTAATGTATTTGGGATTCATCCATGTACTTAATTATTTTTTATTGTTGAGTAATATTTCGTTGTATGGATATATCAGAGTTTGTCCATTTCTTAGTGGAGGGACATTTGGGTTGTTTCTAATTTTTTTTTTAAAGATTTTATTTATTTATTTGAGAGAGAGAGAGAGCACACAAGCAGGGAGAAAGAAAATCCCGAGCAGACTCCCCTTTGAGCAGGGGACCTCATGCAGGGCTCAA